TTCTATATAAAGGGGCGCGTCTAGGGAAGCCGATTAAAATATTTAAAAAATGTTTTGATAAGGTAGAAATACTTGAAACCGTCAGATTAAGGTGTGGTAGGCTAGTCACATCCTGAAAAGTGTCCAATTCAATAATCTGCCGATTTGCACAAGCCGAAGAGAAAAAAAATCGACTATAAAGTTTATGATGATTTTTTCCTCTTAGGCTTGTGCAAATCGGCAGATTATTAAATTGGACACTTTTCAGGATGTGACTGGCCTACCACACCTTAATCTGACGGTTTCAAGTATTTCTACCTTATCAAAACATTTTTTAAATATTGTAATCGGCTTCCCTAGACGCGCTCCTTTATATAGAAGACTTATATTATGGTGAAAGTACTCAATAGAGTGCAAGGTAACCTCTTTTATGTTAATCTGCCGCGCTCGAGTAACTACAGAAAATCCCCTCTTGGGCTCCCCTACTACAGTCTACTCACATCCGCTATCGACGCTAGGCTTGTATCTTTTTGTTCTCCGCTGTTTAAATTCGCTTTTTCTTATAACTTATGCCATCTTCCTTTGTGTTCTACGTTACGTGTATAAACTATCTTGTAAACTGTTGTCTTCCACTCCTTCTCTTTCTTCTATCCAACTGTTAACTGTACGTGAATTATATATTGTGAAATATATTGAATTCAAGAGTTGGTGGTTTAATTTAACGCCTCATAGGATAAATTTATATCACTTGCTAACTCAACCACCACACTAGTGACCCCTACCTACAATGTAAAATCTTTACTTCTTCGAAAGCGACTGAGGCCAATGGAGACTATTACCTCCATTTGTGCGCTTCACTTTTAGAGTATTAGAAACGTATTTGCTATTTAGCTCTTTTTATTATATAACTGAGCAAAAGTCGAAATTATAAACTAAAGTACACTGCAAAGTATAACAAAATGTTCTATGAGCATTTTTGTTTTACTATATTAGTTCGAAACTAGGTAACTCTAGGATTCATATTAAAATCCCAACCAACGTGCGTTCACCTAGTCGTGGTGGGGTGGCTCAGTAGTGCCCGGCAATCCAACCGGGCGCGAAGCTCAGAAACGCACAGGGAAGTTGCCCACTTCGGTGGGCGGTGGGAGGTCGCCCTCTTCAGGGGGCGGTGTACCATGCGGGTTGCTCCTGGTACTTCTCTGATAGCAGAGTGGACTGTGGAGCAACCCCATGGTTGTGGTAGTCTGCTTCGGCAGACCTGCCGTCGGGGCGTCGTAGTTGAATGCGTAAGCGATCCTGCGACGCCCCATTAAGACGGGGGAAGGTTTTGTTGGGTTTTAGTGGGTAGTACTGGCTGTATTACGCCGGTGTGTCCCACACGTGGTGCGTAAATGCATTTCCCAACGTTAAAAAAAAAGGATTCATTTTAAAATAAACCAAGATTTTTATGACAGAAGTTATTTAAAATATTATTACTTCATATATATTTTAATTTTTAAAACTAAAAGGTTGGTTTTCATAGCATATTTTGTAAGTGAAAAGTTGACCGAGTTCGGTTTGACAAAGCATGTCCAAAGGGTGACCAAGACGCGTAGCTATATATAACAAATTACGAAATCGATCGTTTCGCGCAGTAGTTTCGTCAATATACTCGTACCTAAAACTTGAAGTATAACTTTAGCGAATGCTTGTAAATCAAAATGGTAAGAACCTCATACAACAGCAAGGTATTGGTTTATAAAGTCATTTAAACAACTCTATAAATTCTATTTATATATAAAGAATTATAGCGCGTAGTAATATACCCGCCGCACCTAACGTCCCTATTCGCCCTTGTCCCCCGCGACGCTCCCCGCGTTTCCGTGCGCCTGACGGCGCCCGCGCTTCCACCCCGGCAGTGAGCCAGTAACCGCGTTACGTTTTACACGCGCCCCGCCGACGTACGCCACTCACTCAACTCGTGACCATTGATTCCTTTAATAATTTGTTAATTATTATACTTAAACACTATTCATCCTGGAAGTCGAAATACATATGTGTGGATCCAGTACATGAGTTTTAATGATTGCGCCCTATAAATGGCAGCCCAACGTTCGGCCCGAATTTGAAAAGTCGTACGTACCTATAGGATGATGCAATCGTTTTCAAATATTAACTCATGTTTTAGTGTTTGTGAATTGTGTCGCGATTCGAACTGAAATTAACATTATTAGTGTATATGGTTTAAATAACAATAAGTTACGTGTTATTTTCTACATAAGTTTGTTAGATATTATTATTTTGTCATATTGCATAATAATAGGCACAAGTTTAGAATATGGGACATTACCCCTGGCGGAGTGGGTGGTATTTCTGGATAGGGGACGTGATAGGGCGTCGAAAAGTTAAATAAAAATTTTTCCGAAAACGTACGAGTAAAAAGTTATTGAGACTTAAAGTTACAACATTTCCATACATTTTCATATATTTCTTTTCCACCATTCGGAGTGGGTGGTATTTTTAGATAGGGGAGGTGACAGAGAGTCAAAATATATTAAAAATATTTGGAGGAAACGTACGAGTAAAAAGTTATTGAGACTTAAAGTTATAACATATCTAACACATTTCCATACATTTCTTTACCTAAATAAATGATTACAACAGATAAACATACCTTTAACGAATAGTACGCATCCTTTTTTATGTACAAGACATATTTTCACAACAATTAATGCTTTATTGTATTTAATATTTTAATAATTTCACAACACAAACAAAATGATCTTACATTTTGACAAAAGCAAACTGACACTTTGTTTTATATTACCGCTTAAATGACAACAGATTATATTTGATTATTTTTGCTTTTTCTGTTGGTAATATTAATAAATAAATAAATAAAAAGAAAAATATTATTTTCGTTTCATAAATACATTTATGATTTTTTATCTGATTTATGTAAAATATATTGTTTTAGAATTGTACATTTAGTAAAAAAAATCATTTTTTATCTGTGAATATTTTTAATTATTTATTTATTATTCGTCATATCTGGGTTAGGTTAGGTTAGAACATTTAAGATTATATATTTATTATTCGTCATATCTGGGTTAGGTTAGGTTAGAACATTTAAGATTATTTATTTATTATTCCTCATATCTGGGTTAGGTTAGGTTAGAACAGTTGCCACAACGCACGAGCCGAGCGAGCGAAGCGAGCGTGCCGCGGTAGCGGCCGGCGAGTGCCATAAATGACTAGAAAACTAGAAAATTCTAATTTCACGCAAGTACAAATAAAGACAATCATCTGGAGATCATTTTGACAATTGAAAGTGACGTTTTGACTCCAAGTGTCTAAATGGTAGTAATGTCAAAATAATGTATGGAGATGTTGTAACTTTAAGTCTCAATAACTTTTTACTCGTACGTTTTCGGAATTTTTTTTATTTAACTTTTCGACGACCTATCACGTCCCCTATCCAGAAATACCACCCACTCCGCCAGGGGTAATGTCCCATATTCTAAACTGCAGCCTAATAATATATAGGTTGCGAAGTATTTTGTGTAAATCGTTATGTTAATACTTACGTACCTACTTATGTTAATACATATTACACTGTTGTAGAATTTTAATTTTAGTATAAAATTATATTGTCTAAAAGTTTTAAGTAATAATAATAAGTTTTGTTTGCTACGTAAAACTAATAATAATAAGTTGTCGTATTGCATAATACTTTCTGTTACTTACTGTTTATTTTGTGTAAACCATTTTATACGTTGTTGTATAGATTTAGTTTTAGTATTCTATACCTATGGTTTTATATAATAATAAGTTTTGTTTGTTACTTATGAATGATGATATTATTATTTGGTCGTATTGTTTAATACTTAATAATATCTATCGAAGTATTTTGTGTAAACTTTAAATTGCATATATAACTCTGTTATATAGATTTTAATTTTGTTAATGTTTAAATAAGGTATTGAGTAATAATAATACTACTAAGCGTTCTGAATAATTATAGTTGTGTTGTTTACTACTTATTCTGATAATATTATTCTGTTAGAATATTGTTGTATATTGAATAGTGAATATTATATTGTGTTGTAAAAATATTTGTTTTGTGTAGTAATACAAGTTTCAACATGTATAGTTTAGTTCTGACTATTGTATAGTTATAGTATTTTAGTTAAGGATAAAGTGCAAGGTATAAACGTTTTTTTAAGTTGACTGTTGAACTGAAATAGTTTTATAGTGCGTGTTGATATTATATCAATATGGTGCTTACACGGTCGAGAGCGAATAGTAACGAGACTCAGAAGGCACCACAGCAAAATGCTGGAGAGCCCAGGGCTCTCTCGCCAACGGCGTCGGATGCGCCGCCGTCTCCGCTTACTGGCCTGGACGAGGCCTGCTCCACTGCGCCGTATGCGCAGTCACCGTCGTCGGCATCACACATGCAAGTACCCGGTAACCCAGTGGTAATGTCGGATCAGCAGCTGGCGCAGATATTAGGATTGCTGCGCGCGCCAACTTCTTCACCATTGGTAACCGCTATATCAGGTAACTTTGCTTCTTGTTCTTCACGCTTCGATGGCGGAAAAGGCAGTGATGTACTCGCTTTTATAGATGCAATTGAAACATATAAAGAATGTGTGAATATGGACGATAATATTGCTTTGCGAGGCCTTCCTATTCTGCTAACGGATCTTGCCGCAACGTGGTGGCAAGGTGTAAAACCCACCACGCAAAGTTGGCATGAGGCAATAGAGCTCCTTAAACAAACATTTGGTCCTCAGTTACCACCATATAAAATTTATAGGAAAATTTTTAGTAAAGAGCAAACTCAGGAGCCTACTGACATATTTATTTGTAATATTAGAGCCTTATTTGCACAGTTGCCTCCTTCGCATTTAACTGAAGAAGTTAAATTGGATATGGTATATGGTCTTCTTAGTAAACGGATTCGAGAGAAGGTACCACGAAGTTCTTTCACGTCTTTTTCCGAGTTATTGTCGCATTCTAGACGAATAGAAGAGTTAATGGATGAGAGTCGAGTCGAAGTCAATCGACCTAATCTGTCGCAAACTCAGAGATCAAATGTTGCGTACAGTCCGAGACAAGGTATTCCACCTGCCTCTTCTTCTGCCGAGTCTAATGAATCAGTTAAGGCACCGGTTATAAATAGAAATAAGTGTTCCTATTGTAAACGATTTGGACATAATAAAGACGCTTGTGAGAAGTTGTCATATAAAAATCAGCAAAGTAAAAAGGAGTCGATACCCCAGTTGACTTGTTTTGGATGTGGTGCACCGGGAGTGATTCGGTCGAATGGCGCCATATGTAAAGGGAATAAACCCGTGGTGTCAACCAGTAGTGACTTTCATTCGGTTTCAGCAAGTGTAGACTGTATGGATTCGCGTTTGCGCCCAGTGATTAGTATTGGAATTTATGGCGCTAGTGGTAAAGTTTTAGTAGACACTGGTGCAAAACATTGTGTAGGAAGTGTTAGCCTTAGATCCCTGTTAATTAAGAATAGACATAAGTTAGATACTGTTTATACTGAACTTAAATATGCGGATGGTCGTGCATGTGCACAAAACGTTGAAGTGGCGCACGTCCGCGTAACCTTGAGAGGGATAACGTTAGGTGTGGATTTTATTATGCTTCCTAACGCGACGGAAAGTTTATTAGGTATGAATTTTATACAAGACATTGGCATGGTTTTAGATTTTCAGCGCGGTATTTGGTTTTTGAGAGGTGATAAGACGCCCCAACCCATTGAATATGAGTGTAAGTCTTTGCCGCCTATCAATTGCTCTTCTGTAGGTCTTCGCGATGACGAAGGTTCCCACCTTAGCTTAGGGCAACGGCAGCGGCTCTCCGATCTCCTGAATGTCCATGAAGACATTTTTACTCCAGGGGGAGGACCGACTTCATTTGCTATGCACCGTATAGATACAGGGGATGCGGCGCCAGTAACGAGCCCTCCGTACCGTGTTTCACCGTCCAAAAGGGAAATAATACATAAAGAAATAGAAACCATGCTTGAAGATGGCATTATCGAAGATGCGGAGTCCGAGTGGGCGTCGCCCGTGGTGTTAATACCCAAGAAAAACGGTGAGGTGAGATTTTGCGTAGATTACCGTAAATTAAACAAGGTAACACGTACTGATAAGTACCCTCTTCCCGTAATCGACGAATTATTGCAGAGTACTAAAGCGGACTGCATAATGTCTACTATAGATTTGAAGGCAGGGTATTGGCAGACTATGGTTTCTCCAGAGGATCGCCATAAGACGGCTTTCACAACTCCGTTTGGGACCTTTCAATTTCGCCGCATGCCTTTTGGCTTGAAGAATGCTCCGGCGACGTTCCAACGTCTAATAGACCGGATGCGGTCTGGCCTTAATAACATCTGTGTATTGGCCTATCTGGATGACATTTTGGTGATCTCGCCAAATTTGGATCAGCACCTACGTGATCTTCAACAGGTGTTTGATCGTCTTCGTCTGTTTAATCTGAAAGCAAACAGAAGTAAGTGTGTTTTTGCTAGAGACAGGGTTAATTATCTGGGGCATGTTGTTTCTTCACATGGTATTGAGCCCGACCCGCAGAAGGTTGAAGCCGTGAACAGTATGAAGCCTCCAAGTAACGTTAGAGAGTTAAAAACGTTTTTACAGACCTGCTCTTGGTTTCGCAAGTTCATTCCGCAGTTTTCGGATGTAGCGCGATGTCTCACAGATTTGACAAAGAAGACTAGACGCTGGCAATGGGGGGAGAGTGAGCAACGAGCTTTTGATGAGCTTAAGTTACGACTTACCACCAGTCCCATTCTTAGACAGCCAGACTTTGAAAAACCTTTCATCCTCCGAACTGACGCTAGTGCGTATGCCTTAGGGGCTGTTCTTATGCAAGGTGAAGATATTAAGGACGAGAGACCCATAGAATATGCGAGCAGATTGCTAACCTCTGCAGAACGCAATTATCATACGACAGAGCGCGAAACTCTGGCGGTTGTATGGGCTTTGGAGAAGTTTAGAGGATACGTCGAGGGATCTCCAGTGAAAATAGCCACTGATCACCAGCCACTTAAGTGGTTGTTGACTCTAAAAACCCCAAGTGGAAGACTAGCCCGTTGGGCTATGAAAATCCAATCATATAATTTGGATATAGATTATGCACCCGGGAAAATCAATGTGGTGGCGGATACGTTAAGCCGTCCTGTTAGTTCTGAAGAGTTCCAGTCCGACTCTTGTGATATTTGCCCGGTAGCTGTTGATTTACCACGTCAGAAGCCTGAGGACATTCGTGAAGCTCAGATTAATGATCCTGACGTCAATAAAGTTATATTAGCTTTTGAGCAGCCTGATCACGCTGACGAAGCTTTACGCTGGTCTGATCGAGGTTATTATCTTTCTCAAGGTATTCTATATCGGTGTGATCCGGATGGCGAGTCCGAAGAACCCCAGCTGGTAATTCCAGAAGCATTGAAGGCCGAGCTCATGAGAGAGCTACATGATGCGCCTACTGCTGGACATTTGGGTTTAGAACGCACGTTACGTAAAATAAAAGAAAGATATTACTTTAAGAACATGAGGACATATGATAAGCATCGCAGAAGTTCTCCATCTTATAAATTGGGTGATCTTGTGCTGGTGGAGGCACATCTAGTTAGCAACGCTTCAAAGGGGTTTAGCCGTAAGTTCGCGCCAAGACGGGAGGGACCTTATCGCATATCTCAAATAGCCAGTCCTTCGTCTTTTGTAGTGTCCGATAGCCAAGGACATGTTAAGGGCAAATACCATGCCAGTGCCTTAACGCCGTATGTAGGGATTTCTAAGGCCATTGTACATCAGAGACGGCGTGGCCGACCAACCAAGTCACAGCCGGGTCGTCCTTGTGACTTGGAGGGGGAGGCTATAGCGCGTAGTAATATACCCGCCGCACCTAACGTCCCTATTCGCCCTTGTCCCCCGCGACGCTCCCCGCGTTTCCGTGCGCCTGACGGCGCCCGCGCTTCCACCCCGGCAGTGAGCCAGTAACCGCGTTACGTTTTACACGCGCCCCGCCGACGTACGCCACTCACTCAACTCGTGACCATTGATTCCTTTAATAATTTGTTAATTATTATACTTAAACACTATTCATCCTGGAAGTCGAAATACATATGTGTGGATCCAGTACATGAGTTTTAATGATTGCGCCCTATAGAATCTTATATATAAAGGATCTTCTGTTTAATTCAATATGATATGGTATTAAAAATCAAAGTTGATAAGCACACTGAGAAAACATAGTATAAAATTATGTGATCTGTGATTTAATAATTCTCTTCAGCGATTGTAGCTAAAACAACGTTTTTCTTTAATAAATTTTTAGTAGTAGTGCAAATGCTGTATAAAACTATTGTTTCTTATTTTTCTGTACTCATGTACATATATTTGTACATTACACAAAAACTAAAAATATATGACATAATTATAATGACTGCACCGATGAATACCAAACTAATACTGTACTCGAATTGCTTAATGATATATACTCACATGAAATGACGTAGTATGATAATATTTGCTTCTTTCACTTTCTTATTTACTCAATAATCTATTTGATTGCAAAAGTTAAAAATTGTTTATATTTTTCTAACTTTTTATACATCCCTTTATTTATTTTTGTAAAACATCCCTGTTTTTAAATAATTTTCTTTTACGATAAAACAAGAATATTACAAAACAGTCTATTTTGTACTAATACGAAATTTAAACGTAGCGTACTTAGTTTCATTTTTAACATGCTGTTATAATTTTTTGTAATCTCGTTTACCTGATAAATAAAACAGGCAAGATATAAAAAATGAAACCCATTTAAGATTTTCAATTTAGTATTATAAGGCTTTTCAATTTCTGAACACATCGACTTCAATTTTCACATTCGGTCAATGGTGTGATTTAATTTTCACATCCTACTCACATGAGTGGTTTCTATTTGAACAAAACTTTGTTCAGAGTGAAACAGAAAGAATTTTTATAACCTTTATTCTAGTTATTATTTAAATTTATAAAGTTATTTTCGAGCTTATTAGCAGCTTGTAATTCGGTGCTTAACAAAATATGACAAAAAAATTCAGAAAACGACTAAAAGCCAATTATATTGATTGTCTACGTAAATCTGTAGGTATAGCAATAGGTGAATCTATATATAAATAGGTAAAAGTAAAACAGTTCAGTACCTTCTTGTCCTCTGCTTGTCAGCCGATTTTCTTTTTATTTTGCTTATTAGCTATTGACGAGCTTTAATGTTATCAAATTGGAAACATGTCTTTTTTTATATAGATAGGTAAATTTTATTCATATATGTTTTCCTCAAATTTTCAATAATAACTGTGGTCGACTAACGGCAACTTTTTTTTTAACGTTGGGAAATTTATTTAGGCACGAAGTATGGGACTCAACGACAAAGCCAGTACTACCCACTACAGCCCTACGGAACTTCCCCCGTCTTAATTCAACCGTAGGTCTGGCGAAGCAGACCACAACAACCACGGAGTTGCTCCACGGTCCTCTCTGCTATCAGAGAAGTACCAGGAGCAACCCGCATGGTACACCGCCCACCGAGATAGGCCACCTCCGAGTGCGTTTCTTGGCTTCGCGCCCGGCTGGAATGCCGAGCACTACTGACCCACCACGACAAGGTGAACGCACATTGGGGGGGGGCGACTTACGGCCATTAGGCGAACACTAATTTAACTAAACTAATTGCTGTTTCAAAATCACACTTGCTTATAAAAACCTACGGAACTCTCCGGCTACGTGACCGACATTGTGAAAGTAGGTAATCTTCGTCACGCTCGCGGCTTTACTACCTTTTATTGATGTACGTGACACATTTTCCATTAGCACTGCTAGTACTGTGCTTGAAAATAGGAAAAAGCAAAAAGCGTACGATACCTACCATTCACAATATTATAAAATACCTTATTCTTTAGGACATCCATTCATAATATATCTCTCTGTGTGTATTGTTCATTTAAGCTCGTTATTACTACGAATTCCTTGAATTAATAATATTCCTGAATATAAAATTAGCTTATTAAATAAACAAAATAAAAATTTGATAAAATATATAAAATAGAATTGTTCGCAATGTAATTCAAAAAAGTCTATTGTTTTAAACAACTGTGTGAGCTTAAGTAACATATTTTAAAAACAATTAAGATAACCTGCCCCTACTTTAGTCAGCTTAATTACACAGTTAACGATAACTGTTTGTACCAAGCAAGCGCTGAGGAGAGCAAACTAAGTATAAAGTTCTATTTATTCTTAAGACAGGCTATGTGCGGCATTATATACACGTTATATAATATACACGTTTTTTATGTTGGGAAATCCATTTACGTATACCACTTTCAAGTCCACTTTGCTATCAGAGAAGTACCAGGAGCAACCCGCATGGTACACCACACACCGAAGTGGGCCACTCCACCACGACAACGTCTATGCAGGTTGGGGGAGGGGGGGGGATAATATACACGTACTAAGTGCAAATACAACTTCAAAATCATTCTCATAAACAAATACAGAAACCACAAATATGTAGTAGGGCTTTACTTTAGTCAATCTACTAGGATTTACTAAAATCTCCATAAATTTGTTATGTTCACTGACTAGTACAAATTACAACATATAACATAAAAATCTTATAATAAATCCAGATAAATAATAACATAATAGACCTACAATTTTTTTTTCTGAAGTATAACTTGTTTAGATAGCGCAATAACTGGCACACGGCACTCAAACGAACAAAAGGCCTTTAGGACTAAGCGTGCACTTGGAGCTTGAGGACTCTAGGACGGTGATTACTTCGTCATTAATTTGCTGGTAACGGGAAAAGTTTCTCTTAGAAGCGAATTAATAAACGTAAATAAGTAAATATGACAAAATGTACATTCCAAATTAAATTACTGTACATTTTCAATTTTATTCAGATTTTAACCGACTTCCAAAAAGAAGGAGGTTCTATGTTCGTTTGTTTGTTTTTTTAACGTATGTTCAGAGATTTCTCGGATACAGTTTGACCGATTTTGCTACTTTACACGTATTGTATTAAGGTAGGTGCCGAGATGGATACATAAAATTTTCTTTGACATAGAGTATACCGTTTTTGAGAAAATCAGTAAAAAACATGAAATTTCAAGTATGTTAACAGGTGTAATTAGACTTTTTTACCTACTTCTAATTATTGTCATATCGACTTGAAACTTTACGAGTGCTTGTAATGTCGATGATAGTATGTATAGTAATTTGGTATGGTGGAGTTGATCTGATGTTGAGGCCAGAAAACGGTTAGTGGAACTCTTCAACGGCTCGTACTAAATAGTTTGAATTTGGTCTTATTTAACTTGATTTAATAAGCCCAATACTTTAGAATTGGATTTTAGAGGCTAATATAACCTACTTGCAAAAAGAGATATGCTCACCGATTTCTCGAAGGCGGTTTGACCAATTTTGCTACTTTAACCTGTATTCTATTAAGTTAGGTCCCGAGGTGATTCCTTAGATTTTTGACACAGAATTACCCTTTTCGAGAAAATCTAGAAAAATCATGAAATTGTAAATATGTTCACAGATCTAATCAGTCTTTTTTATCTACTTCTAATTGTCATATCGACTTGAAACTTTGCAATTTTTTATATTTCTGACGATAATGGAATAGTGGATAGTAGAACTTTTCAACGGCTACTTGTAAATACTTTGGGTTTGAGCTTATTTGGTTTCATTTGATAAAACCAATACATAAGAATTGGATTTAAGAGCCTGAATTTCAGTGTTACTAATAAAAGTGAGTTTTTAGTATGTTAGTCTTTATATAAAATTTAGCAGCATACTAACATTAATTACCTTCTTATTACCTCTAAGTACACTAAACAAAAACTTAAAAAAAAAGAAAGCCGGCTTCCAGCCACGAAAAAGTAAAAAGTAACTAAACAGGGGTTTTCATTTAAATGATAGTAATTACTATAGAGACCTAATCAGATATTTCAAGACCTATAGAGATATATATTATTTATTATTATTTATGTTGGGTGTGGTGCCGAGGTCGGCCCTAGCTACGTCGACCAGTTTTGGTCCATTGTAGCTCCCTTTATAATGAGTTCAAAGTTCTCCGCTTAGTCCTGTTGACTCCAGGAACTTCCAGATTTTCTGAGCGGGGAGCATCTGTATCTCTTTTGGTTGCATAATATGCTGCCCTAGATAGATAGAGATATATATACGGAACGCAAGAACTATAGAGACCTATTCAGAAGTCATTTTCGAACGCCTCATTATTACGAAAGTAATCATATTATTATAAATATATTAATTTTAATAATTAATATTATATGAAAATTATTCTCCCTAAAATTTAACGTACGTTAGTATTTAATTTAATTTTTTATTAAAATTCAATGCCTGAAAATTTACCTTCTATGTGATACCTACTCTGTCGAAAATGATCTTATAATAGTTTCATAATTTTCCAAGCATTATAATAAACGCAAGAGAAAATAAAATGCAAACGCAATGAATGTATAATTTATTATTATCTTCATTTCCGTTAAAGAAAACACTTAGTAATAAAACAGCGAGAGATCTTAAATAATACTAGAATAAAAACTGTTTACAAGACCTTAGAAGAAAACGTTTAAGCACAAAGTAGGATGTGGCGCGCATTTAATATTTATCTTTATTTTATTATAATACTTAATAATAATGTTACTATAAAAATTAATTAAGTTTTGTATTTCAAATAGGTATATAAGCAACTCAGTATTCTGAGTTTTTTATTCTGAACCTTAAAGCGAGCAATGTGCCTAAAACTTTTAAAGGTAGATTAAGGTATTCGTGGTTTTTTTGTACAACTATCAAAAGTAATTTATTTTATTATTTTTACTTGCATAATAAATGTACAACAGGAATCACTTGGTCAGCGCATGCCGATAAAGCAACCAAGCAGCGCTTTTTATAATAGTAGGGGAGCCCAAGAGGGGATTTTTGGA